TATATGTGTATATATATATATATATATATATATATATATATATATATTTGTCTGTATTATATTAAGTTATAATGTGTGGTTTTATAGCTACAGCTTGCATTTTGTGTGTGTTGTTTATTATAAATGTACATTCAAATAAAATTGCCAAAATTGCAACCAAAGTCTTCAAAAAGGTCAGAAAGGGTTAAAACAGTTGCCAAGATTTTGAGATATGTTTTTCCATTGGGGAGATTTACAGGGTTATTCACAAAAGGGTGAAGAGTCAGGAGAAGGCAAGGGAAGGGAACAATCTAGGACAACATAGCTGATTTGGAAAAATTCTCCAATTCAGCTAACTTTCCAGTTCAGCTATGTTGTCCTAGATTGTTCCCTTCTCCTGCCTTCTCCAAACCCTTCACCCTTTTGTGAATAATCCTGTTACTGTCACTTCATGTTGTGTCACCATGACAAGAGGTTAAGGGAATCACTCACTCCAATTGGTATAGAAACCACATTAAGAACACCTATTTATTATTAGTAAAACGAGGATGGGTTAGAACTATTGTTGGAACACGTCACCTAATTTGTGGCAACAGCGAAGTTACCAGTAGAGGAAGTGAGGTTATTTATTTATTTATTATTCCTTAGTGTAATGGCATTCATAGTAGAATATAGTATACATATAATCCTAGTGGCCCAGACCTGTAAGGTAAAGTGCACAGTGCAAACAGATCACATAATGCAACATAACTAGCTCACCTAGTGATTGATTAAGCAAATCTATTTTGCAACTAAATATAATATGAATCTCTGTTTCAATAAAACAACAGCAAATATCAACTAAATGAACAAAAACAATTATATAAGGATTTAAATATGCATATAATGTGTTAATGGAAATAAAGACCCTTTATAAAACATATAAGAGAGAGGAAAGACAAGGTAATTCGCTATTTGAATTGGGAAAATAAAGAATAATGATTTGATAATAAAGAATCCCATAAAAACAGAAAGCTAGAGAAAGGAAACAGGGTACATGGGCACACAAGTAGATACATAATACACAATCACAATTTTTGCTTGCTCTTGATTGGATGATTGAAGTGAACAAAGTTTAAATTCACTGTTCCTTTAGTAAATCAACCCCTTAATATGCTCATCTACTATTGGCAATGCATGTTGCTGCCAGCTAGCAAGGTGCTTGATCCGAAAAACAGACAGCTTACTTTTTGTATCTCTATTGGAGAAAAGCCTACATATCTATGATATAACTAACAGCTAAATACTTTCATTGTCAGCTCAGCATATGGTTGTCCAGTCAAATAAAAATATTTTTATCGTAAAAGCCATAGTAAAAAAAATGGTTCTGCCAAAATAGTTTGTGATCATCAGAAAAAGTGTGCCAATTGTAATGGTTTTTTTTAAAAGATGAACTTTTCACATTTTGTCCTTTAAACATCTGCCAAAAGGGCTTTCAGTGTTAAAGTGTTATGATACTAAAAGTTGCTTTGTTTTTTATGACCTTATATTAAATCAGCAGAGTATCATCACGACTTTAATTTGCATGTTATGGTCTAAAGCTGTGATATGTTGTATGAACATACAACATAATATTCAAATAAACCAGATCTACTGTTTGATATGAATTTCAATGATTAATATATGGCATTCAATCAAAGTTTGCAGTAAGCAGCATGTATTAACAATTTTATTGTGAACTACAATTATTAAAATACATATGACACATAATCAAAATTAGAAGTGAGCAGTACATACAAATGATTTCAGAATGAATTTATTTTCTTGATTTCAAAAAAGATTATCTGAGGTTGTTTCAGTCTAAAGTTATTGCATTGTATGATTTGGAAATTTTGCTGAATTTGTGTTCTTTTTTTAACCATTTTCCTTCATTTACAAAAAAAGATACAATTTGTCAATTATTTTATTGCTTTTCTCTACTGCATTATTATGGCATCATCAATTTAAATTTGTTTTACCTCTTTATAAAAAAATGAAATTGTCTTTTCACCTAGGAAATTTACATTTTTCTATACTCTTGACCAGACATAATGCATTAAGTAAGGAAACTGAAGAAATAAAATAATCCTAAAGGTTGCATAATTTTTTAGTTTTGCTACTTTTTGTAGCCATATTTTTCAGAGAAGTGTTTAAACCTTGAATTCCATTTAGACATAAAGGTGTTCTAGACAGAATCCTTTTTTTTTTAAACTGAAGTGAACAAAGTCCATGTAACAGATGTGGTAGATCCTACTATTCTGACTGCCAGTTCTACATCTTTTTTCAGACCTTTACAAGATTTTCAATATATCTAAATAATAGACAGTGTAAAGAAATATGCTATTAAAAATAAAGAGGAAAAAAACAGACTGTCTAGAGCATTAAAATTCAATAAAACTAAAGACTGGAATCCCATTGTACCTTTCACATGTTTTTTTCCTTAACCAGTTGACATCCTCGGTGTTAAACCCCCCTTCCCATCCAGGCCATTTTTCAGTATTCAGCGCTGCGGTACTTTGACTGACATTTATTCCGTCATGCAGCGCTGTGCTGAAATGAATTTTATACCCTTTTTTGGGGACAGATAGAGCTTTCTTTTGGTGGTATTTATTCACCACTGGGGCTTTAATTTTTTTACTATATTAAGGAAAAATCAACGAAATTAAAAAAAAAAAACAGTTTCCCCTATATTAAATGATAAAACATTTAATTATATTTTATAATAATTATATTATATATACTGATCAGCCATAACATTATGTTCACTGACAGGTGATGTGAAATACATTAATTATCTCATTACAATGGCACCTGGGAGTGGGTGGGATATATTAGGCAGCAAATGAACATTTTGTCCCTGAAGCTGATGTGTTGGAAGCAGAAAAAATGGGCAACCGTAAGGATTTGGGTGACTTTGACTAGGGACAAATTGTGATGGCTAGACAGAGCAACTCCAAAACTGCAGCTCTTGCGGGATGTTGGGCTGGCCAGGGTAGTCCGATCCAATAGAAGAGCTACTGTAGCTCAAATTGCTGAAAAAGTTAATGCAGGTTTCAATAGAAAGGTGTCTGAACACAAAGTGCATTGCAGTTTGCTGTGTATGGGGCTTCATAACTGCACACCACTCAGAGTGCCAATGCTGACCTGTGTCCATCGCCAACAGTGCCAAAAAATGGGCATGTGAGCATCAAAACTGGACTATGTAACAATGTAAGAAGGAGGCCATGCCTGGTGAAATAATTTTCTTTACATCATGTGGATGGCCGGGTACATGTGGGTTGCTTACCTGGAGAAGAGATGGCACCAGCATGCACTATGGGAAGAAGGCAAGTTGGCAGAGTCAGTGTGAAGCTTTAGGCAATGTGCTGCTAGGAAACCTTAGGTCTTGCCATTCATGTGGATGTTACTTTGTCATGTACCACCCACCTGAACATTGTTGCTAACTAAATACATTACTTCATGGAAACAGTATTCCCTAGTAGCAGTGGTCCCTTTCAGCAGCATAATGAACCCTGCCATACTGCAAACATGATGTAACGGTGGTTTGAGGAACACAACACGTTTGAGTGTTGATTGGCCTCCAAATTCTTCAGATCTCAATCCAATTGAGCATCCATAAGATGTGCTGGAAAAAACAGTTTGATCCATGCAGGTTCCACCTTGCAACTTATTGGACTTACAGTAAAGGTTCGGCAATTTATGTCTTGGTGCCAGATACCACAAAATATCTTCAGAGCTCTAGTGGAGTCCATGCCTTCATGGGTCAGGGCTGTTTTGGTGGCAAAAGGGGATCTACTCGATATTAGGCAGGTGGTCATAATGTTATAGTTAATTGGTGTATATATGCAACTCTACTCCAGCTGCAGCTGTGAGATCTAATCTCTGTCAAGAGATAATCATGTTGCAGTTACACACAGTACCAGAATAGTTGAAGCCTTTATACAGTATTTGTTAATGAACATATATTCCATGTATATATGATAAAATGTTAATTTCTTGAATATAAACTTACTTATGACCCATCTCATGAGCAATAGTAAAAGCAAGGTTTAACCCATTATCTTCTGCGATGATGCATTTTCTTTTATCACTGCACATTCCATTCAGATATGCAATACCTGAAATACATTTTGGATATGTTATTAGAATAGTGTTTTATTAACGTAAGAGGCTCAATTTACAAAGCTTTAATACAAAAATAAGGATCTTTATTTTAGCCCTGTGACTGTATTTTTTTGAATCAGCCAAGAATAACTGCCACCTTTTCTTTAAATAGTGATCCATATTTTAGTGTGTTGGCTTATATCATTGATTCTTAAGTTATAATTAACAAACTAAAATCATCTCATCAACACATAGATGAAATGTGCACAGGCAGGGTGAAGTTAATATTAACTAGTAAAGGTCATATGCAATGTTCCTGTACTTAAAACAAACCCAAAAACCGTAAAGAGCTCATTACCTGACAGAGATATATTAACTGTTGATATTGGCCAAAGTACATCCATTTTAAATAATTTACAACAGACATGTTGTTCAATAGCTTGTGTCTTTGTTGAATTAAATTTATGTAAACTCATCATATTCTCAATTAATGGGTAAATAAATAAAATTTTATTCTCACCTAATCTAGCTCATAATACAGCTGGGACAAATTAATTATTATTCTTGAATGTTTATACAATGATGTAATACTACAATGCTTTATCGCTGGCTTTAAAATCTCTCCTGGAACCATCACAATTAATTACAGTATTCTTCCGTGATATAAAATATTTATCCCAACTGTTACTGTACAATGGGCTACATACGCAACGCATATTTACACACATTTTAATCGCCATAGTGGAGCAATACAACAGCAAACCTTATCATTGCACAGAAATTCAATTTTAGAAGATTTTCTAGAAAAGGAGACCTGTCAGAACATTTCTATGCAGCCTAGAATTTCCCACGTCTTTACAAGGTATCAGTGAAAAAGAGTGGCATTTAATAAAATGTTGTGTTGGGTGTAAATGGGAATGTTGTTGGGAGACTAGGTTTGAATAGATCTTGCTATGACATTATATTAAGGTTACTTATATACTTTGCTTATCTCTGTGTTTCAAAGTTAGGTTTTGGGGTCCCAAGACTTTGGATGAAATCTATAGGGTCAATGCATAATATTGAAATCACAGTAGATCATGCTAGTTGGCATTGAACATAAGTTTGGGTGAACAAGCAGATTAACTCTTTGTATAGACCAGCTCACTCGAAGAAATTGAAAAAATGGTCTACAGGGCTATTAACCAGTTCTTGCTGGCCATCACATAGGAGCCAGCCGTAAGATCACGGCTGGCTCCGCCCAGCTGTCAGAAGCAGGCTGTCGCCAGCCATCGGCCAGCTTCGGCTTTCAGCGCGGCTCAGCCATATGCCTTCGGCTCGGCTGAGCCGCTCAGCCAAGTTTGGGAGCTGTACGGGCTATAGTGAATAGCCCGTACAGCAGCCCTTCAGTTCTACTGAACCAAAGGGGTCCTGGGGCCGAAGATAGCCGAAGGATCAACCAAAGCTACGGCTAGATCCTTCGGCTGCTTCGTGAATAGACCTCATAGTGTGCAGCAAACCTCTAAAACAGGAGGCTCGACCAAACTCTGGTCTGGATCTGTGATGTGACTGACATAGCAAGGAAGCATATTACTTTATGTTTTGACCAAAGAGATCACAAGGCCCCTACAACTGAAAAATCAGATCATAATCTGGACTATTTTATCAGTGTTTCTTAATAACATAGGGGTCTATTCACAAAGCAGCTGAAGGATCTATCCGTAGCTTCGGCTGATCCTTCAGCTAGCTTCGGCCCCAGGATCCCTTCGGTTCAGTATAACCGAAGGGCTGCTGTACGGGCTATTCCCTATAGCCCGTACAGCTCCCAAAGTTGGCAGAGAGGCTCAGTCGAGCCGAAAGCATATGCCTCAGCTCGACTGAGCCGCGCTGAAAGCCGAAGCTGGCCGAATGGCCGGCCATTGGACGGCCGACAGCCTGCTTCTGACAACTGGGGGGAGCCAGCCGTCATCTCACGGCTGGCACTGGCCACTTGCAGAGAGATCAGCGTCCCTGGTTACCAGCTAACCAGGGACACTGATCTCCAGACAGCCTAACTCTCCCGCGCGCCGGGAGTCTCCCGCTCCCGGCCGCCCAGGAGAAAAACACCTTTTCCAAGAAAGGTTCACTCTGCTCGATCGAGCAGAGTAAAACTGTCCCTGCTTTTTTTTTAAATTCTGACATGGAGCCGTTTTGGCTGCCGTCAGAATAATAATAAAAACCATTTCAACATATGAATGCATTGCTAGATTCCTATTGGCTATTTCAATTTGCAATAGCCAATAGCAAACTAGTTATTGCACCCGCCCACTGCTGCTGTCAATCATCAGAGGGGGACCTGCAGTTCTCCATTAGGTCCCCTCAGGTGATTGACAGCAGCAGAGGGCGGGTGCAATAGCTAGTTTGCTATTGGCTATTGCAAATTGAAATAGCCAATAGGAATCTAGCAATGCATTCCTGTGGCAAAATTATTTTTATTTTTTTTATGGCAGCAGAACCGCTCGCCAATAGAAAACAGTAGCGAGTAGCCTGCCAGATGTTGGGCTTAGCCGATCCAGATGTTGCTGAGCATGTTCGGCCGACCTGAAGCTAGCCGAAGCCACCCGATGTACGGCTGGAATCTGCCGTACCAGCCTGAAGTGCATAGCCGAACAGCCTACGGCAGCTTAGTGAATAGACCCCATAGTGATTGTGCATACAATGTTTTCTTTTACAAAACATAATCTTTTATTTCATTAAACTAGAGGTGCACCGAAATGGAAATTTTAAAACCGAAATGAAAAAAAAATATCAGGCCGAAACCGAAAACGATACCGAAAATGTTTTTTATTTTTATTTTTTCAATTTTTTAAAATATTTTATTTTTTATAAACTTTTTTATTTTTTTATATATATTTTTTTTAATTAAATATTTGTATTTTTTACTTTACTTTTAGGGGCTTCGGGGAAATATTAGGGGTCTAAAAAGACCCCTGGTATTTCCCTTTTAAAATAGAAAAAGAGATTGAGAACACAGAGTCCTCAATCTCTTTTTCTGTGTCCCCTGTTATCAATGAACAGGAATCCTGTATGAGTGTTCCTGTTCATTGATAACATGAGAACATTGTTTGTTTACTATAACTACAGATCACTCCCATTCATTCATAATTGAGGATATAGTTAACATACCATATCCTTAATTATGTACACACACTCAGCGATCAGTGATCGCTGAGTGTGTGTACCTTGCTTTTCTCTCTGACACGCTGTCACAGGAGGCTGATCGAGCGGTGTAGAGAGGAAAGCCCAGCCTCCTGTGACAGCGCTGTCTCCGCCCCCACACCGCTCTGCCGTACTGTGATAGGCGGCTGAGCAATGTGGGAGGAGAGACGCCGACCGCTCACAGCGCTCTCGTCCTGCAGCGCTCGGCCGGCTGTCACTTTATTTTCTCCCCGCTGGAACAGCGGCCAGCGGGGAGAAAAGAAACCAGGAATGTGCCGATGTATCGGCCGAAACATGGCTCTTTCGGCATTATGCCAAAAGTGCCATTTTCGGACGATATGTTTCGGCGCCGATATATCGGTGCATCCCTACATTAAGCCTTACAAACTTGAACTAGAAAACATGCATTTATGAATCTCAGGATTGAACAAGCCATTATTAAATCCCAATTAATTTAAAAAATGTGTTTGCTGAGAGCTGGAGTATTAGGTGTAAAATGTCCTTAACCAAAGTATAGTACATTCATTTTGCTATTGCATGGCTGTAGCCTATCAATAGCCGCAGAAAGTAAAACAGAACAGGGGAAGCTATCAAACAGCTACATACCAAAACTCACAAATGGTTTTATTGAATAGAGTTATTATTATTTAAATGCAGTAATACATGGCAATCCAATTGTACAGTGCTCAAGTCAGACTAACGCAAGATGCATGTGGATTGTTTTCTTTGGGTTACTGTATGTAAAGCTTAACTACATCTAAAAATTGCATCAAAAACCTGATTTTGGTTGTAACTGTTACTGCATTCTATCCACTATTACCGCTATAGTCAGCAGAATTAAGATTACTTTTCAATGCACCATTCTTACACTGAAGGGCAACAGGTTTTTAATGTTTCTCACAGGAGAAAAGGGAAGTGAAGAGTTTGTGCAGCTTACCTTGGTACTAATTTACAAAGGTACATAGTTAGTCATGTTGAAAAAAGACACATGTCCATCAAGTTCAACCTAGTACTTACATCACCTGGTACTCCCAGGCAGTCTCCCATCCAAGTACTAACCAGCCCCAACCCCGCTTAGCCTCCAGGCTCAGAAAAGATTGTGCGCTTTCAGGGTGATGTGGCCATAGGAAACCTCCTTGCCCACTCTCAAAATCATAATTTAAATAAGAAATCTAAGACTGCATTCCCATTGTGCATTTAAAAAAGTAAATGTAGACTTCCGGTTCCGGCGCCTGATGTAGCGGTCGCAGAGAAGAGAGCTCCCGCACCGCCAGGGCTAAACTTCATATAAAATCGCACTTCAGCATACCAAAGATACCCAGTGGATCTCCTCAATATTGCCGGCCTGTCATCGGCTGCCATGGATAAGTTTCTGGCGAAGAAACGCAACGGACTCAGAGGCAAAGGCACCCCAACACGCAACAAACGACCGTTTTCGGCATCCAAGATGGCTGCGGAAGCTGATCGCCCAGATATCAGCTCCTCCTCGGATGATGACATGCCTGGGCCGTCCGAGCATGGCCTGATAGCAGCCGAGGTGGCCAAACTCCTGCGGCCCACTATCCAGGATGCGGTGCATAAAGCGGTCTCCAAAGGGATACAATCATTACGACACGATCTCTTACAACAGGCCCAGAGACTCTCTGAGGCGGAACATCGTATTGTACAGCTGGAATAAACCATCGAGTCTTCCTCCTCTCAACTTACCACCGCCAACCGTCATATCCAATATCTTCAGGACCGCGTAGAGGACTTGGAAAATCGGTCTCGGCGGAATAATCTGAGAATAATCGGACTACCGGAGTCATACCGCCCCTCAATGCTGCAGACTATCTGT